CATGATACTGTAATTATTGCTATTATTTTTGTGATCATCATCATCATGTTTTATATATATATATATATATATATATATATATATATATATATATATATATATATATATATATATATATATATATATTTTTTTTTTTTTTTTTTTTTTTTTTTTTTTTTTTTTTTTTTTTTTTTTTTTTAGATGGATATCACTAAAATAATTTTTTTTTTTTTTTTAAACATTTCATGGGCAGATAATTCGAGGATGTAGTGTTATAGATAATGAAATGGACTAGAGCAGAACCAGTATTAGAATCAACAGAACCACCTTTAGGTAATTTATTTCTCTTTCTGCTTTTATCAGGTTGTGGCAGAGAAACAAAAATTGGAGCGTGAGGTCACTTCATTGCAAACGATAATGGAAGACGATCGAAAAGAGATCGCTGACCTTCGGCGGCAACAGCAGGTCAGCAACCTACTAGTACGAGCGTTTTCGATCGTAGATGGAGCATCACAAAACTAATCACTAACCCAGGCAAAGTGACTGGTTTTACAGCAATTCTTTTTTTGGTTATACTCACCTTTGATTCCCATGAGCTCAAGCTGCACTCAGATATGTAACAAGCTCCGCAACTTTGATTCTTCAGTAGTCATTGATAGTACCTTTTTCTAAACTTGCTAAAACCTCTTCCGAATCTCCTTAAAGCTGTAATAGAAATAGAGAAATACAAAGTTGCAATCAGGTTGCATTCTGATTCCCATAATATCAAAGCTACACTAAATAATATAGTAGTGCGCACCCAGTTTTCCATGATGCTTCTCAGTGGTTTTCCATTCATGATAAACAATTGATTTTATTCCTAGATTTGCAGTCCATAAGGCTCTGCAAAGAAGACTTCAGTAGGTGTGCCTTGTATTTTGTGTATTCTTCTTGTGTATTAGACAAGATTAAATGCACATTTAACTTTAAAACACTCCCTAAATTGAGCACACTTCCCCATTGTTTATAGCAGCTATGACACTTTGTCAGCTTTCCAAGACAATAAGTGTTACTAGCGGTGAAATCGTAGACAAATTTTAGTTCCCTCTATTCGGTCAACTCTTTCTTTTGCTGTCCTCTATGTCAGTGTAAATTGTTAAAAGAAATATTTAATTGGAATTCACTGATTTTACAAAAAAGACAACAAAAAATACATACAAAAAGTATTAGTGTATGTTTCCAATCACTGTTCAGAATACCCGTTCTTGGCTTTTGCAAACAGCTCGGGATTGGTGGTGGTATATTTGTCCCTCAGGAAGGTTCTGTTTGTTGCTGCAGTGTTGGTTCTTGCAATTCAGTGTGTTATATTGTCTCTCGTGTAATATGAAGTAGTGCATTTACTACAGTGGAAAATTTTACTTAATTGTCTTATGGACTGAAAGATAGAATGCTTGATTTGGCATATTAAAAGAAAAATTGACAAAGTGAGACCACATTACAGCAACTGCAGCAGAATAAACTATACAGCCTTCCTTTTCAATTTTTGTATGAATTCCTTTTTAATGGTCTCTTTATCATATGATTTTGAGAAGTGCTTGGTTAAACTGGTTCATAAAGTCAGATGATAGCCAGCAATTTGGTTTGCTCTTGTTCCGAATAGGAATCATATTAAAAACTAGTAATGAGTCAGTGAAATCAAGCAGATTTTCCACCTATCAGTAGACTCATATGTGCATGGCTGTTGGCTCTTTTATTGCTGATTTGACAATACTGATGAAGGTTTCATATTTCATAATGTATTTTTTATTTTTTTATTTGCTAGTCCTATATATTCTAGATGAAATATAGTAGCAGCCCTCATAACCCCTTTTATGTGGCAGTGTAGTATGGTGTTGATGACCTTAACTAGGAAGGCATCAGATGTTAAGTTTTATCCACACATTTGTAGCAGTTCACAAATTCATTGCATTGGTAAAGTCAAATTATTTCAGAAAAGGCCCAAAAGATGTTTTGATTGAACTATGCAATTATTGATTTGCTGATGCCATCATAGTTGAAAACACTCCTTACCAATTTTGCCTAACAGACCCGGTCCTAACCTTCCCCATCTCTCTCTTTCTCCCCTGCCCTCAGAAGGTTAGATTCCCGCTCAAAAGACAGGTGGGTCTTACCCCCTAGTGGATGAAAGTTGCATGACTTGCTCCTTACAGAGTTATAAGGGTTCTCTCAGGTTGGGAAACAGCAGGATGATTCATGAATTACCATAACCTTAGACTTGGCAGTCTTGCAGCTAGAGGTAATGCAAAAGTCTGTGCATCTGCTGCCTCACACTGAGGGGATTATATATTTTGGTGTTTTCTTTATATTGGTCATGAGTTTCTTATCTGGTTGTTTATGAAATGTAGACCCAGGCTTTATATTGCTGTGACAGAGCATTATACAACTGCAAAGAATGATGCATGTAATATAAGCATGAAGAACACCATTGACAGGACTGAAGTGTTCGGATATCTGAAGTAGCATTTATTGTATGTTTATATTCTTCATCTGCAGTCTTGCGTACATGGATGTTCAGTGTTAATTGTCATATTTATATGCATCTTTGCTTTAGCTAGAATCTTGTTTGATAGTTAATTTGTTGATATTGCTTCTAGTGATAAAGTATTCAGATTGTTATTCATCATAAGCTGTTTTTTTTCCTCATAGGTTATAGATATTTACAGAATTTATTCAAATAGATGCAGAGATCACTGTTATGTAGTTGCAATATTTTTGTGAAGCATTTTGTAGATAATGTTCAGATTGACAGTGTAGATCAGATGAGGAAATAGTATGCTGAAGAAGAGAAAGATTAGATATGTTGTTTGCCTTGCTTGCCCAATAGTCTTTGGGGTCTTTCTTAGTTTAACTGTTGTTGATTTACTTGTAATTGGGATGTCTTTCTTTGATGCCACACTTAGGAGACGGTAATAGTAAGTGATGGTTCCCTTCTTAGGCCTGCCTAAGTCTTCACATCATACCCTTGGATTTTTTTATGTTTGCAGCGTATTGTATGTCTCAGTTTAGTTTTTTTTATGCAATTGCTACTCTTAATTGCTACCGTACTATGTAATTGTTGTGTAAAGATTCAGATGAATGTGAAAATGAAGATGTATATATGAAATAGTTCCTCTAAACAACAATAAAAATATGAGATTGTATTTTTGTTTTTAAGATGTTTTTTGAAATACTGGTTAGCACAGATATATTTGTGTTATGTATTTTTCAAAACCAGGCATGAATTTTTTCACACGCAAAAAAAAAATATTCACACCATTTTTTCACCTTTTTAAATTTTTTTTTATTTGTTTAGTTCCTTGGTTATTCACTTTTTTCCAATATAAATTGCCTTTGTCTCTTAAATAAACAAAATTTGTATATAAAAAAAAATGGTGTTTCCATTTTAAAATGTTTTTTGTGATTTTGGAGTGATGTGACATGACATGACAATGATAGTGATGATCGATGAGTGTTACTAGTGCTAGATATTGAGAAAGGCATATACATAGCTAGGGAGAAAATCGACCAATTTATCTTGTGTGGTTATTTATGATAATGGGGCTACATTTATTCATCTGAGAATAGTTGATTAATAAAATTATTCTTCTTTACTTCCCTACCAACCCTCCTTTCCCCCATCCTTGGAAAAACCCATCCAGGAAGCTATGTCACAAGAAGGATCAGGAGAGGCCATCAACCAGCTATACATGACCACCATGCGCAAGTATGAAGCCATCAAGGATGAATATGACTCAATTAGAAAGAGGTACTCGGATCTTGTTGCCTCACATTCCAACAACATTTCTAAACTGGAACTCACACAGGTTAGTTTGTGGATTTTGCATTGGCATTTTACTGAGTGGGTTGCCTTGTCTTTTATATATACATATAATTTATGTGAAATTATTAGTAGGCCTTGAGGTTTTTTTTACACTATGTATTGCTGTTACCAAAATCTTTCAAATAAAAACAATTAGATAAAAATCAGTTAAAAAATATTTGACATTCCAGGAGCCTTTTTATTACTAAGAAGTTTTTTATGCTAATGTGTCTGAATCACTCATCATACAGTAGAATGGTATCTCATTTAAGACCTAAGCTAGTTTATAGGATGTTTATTTCATACTGCCTTCATATTGTATTCTTTACTTATTATAATATCCTTCCTCCTAATATCGTAGGAAGAGGTATCTCGCTTGAAGAAGCAGTATGATGAAGTTTTGCGTGAGTGTAATGAGGCAGTGCGAGAGAAGAACTGCCTCAAACAGCAGTGTACCAAAGCAATCACAGAATGGGATTCTGCACTCAGGGAGAAGAACAAACTGCAGGAAGAACTGCTCAAGGTAAACAATACCCATTGTTCATTTGTAGGTGCATATCTATGCTTTTTTCATTTATGATTTACAACTATGTTTTTATTTTATGTTGATTATTTTCTAGTTTAAATGTTATCTGTACTACTGTTTTGATTTTTCTTCTTTACTAACACTGTATCCATCCACAAACACAAAAACTTTATCCATAAAGCAAGCATTGTCATAGATTTACTTGACCATGCAATAGTGGTTTTGTTATAATTTCTATATTTATATCATGGCAAAAATAGGCACTGGTTAATGCTAACCAAAGAAGACTGATCATCTGGTGTATGATCAGATCAGTAACATTATATATGACAGGGATGAAACTCTCATACCTAAGCAGGTATGAATCACTTGCAATTGATAGAACATTTATTAAAGATAAACCTGCAAAGTGTCTCATGAATAGGAATCAAGAAGTAAAAAGACAGGAGGAACTTTATTGATGTTTAACTTAGAAATATACATTTTAACATTTGGGAAGCAAGATTGGAAAAAAAGGTCAAGCAGGGAAGTAGATGAAGGTAGACAATTGAGAGCAAAGTTCCAAGCACAGGGAAGAAACAGTAAATTGGTGGTTGTGGTTGGATAGGCAAGTGGAACAGAGAGGAACACAAGCTTTGCATGTGATGTTTTTGAATAAGCCAGGTGTCCAAGGCCTAGTCAAATAGAAAAATTACATTATCTGTAGGTGAGATGCTTAAAAGACTTGAGTGAGAGAAGAATGGCTTTTCCTTGAACTTTTTACAGTAATAAGATCTGTGAAAGTTTTAAAGTACTTGGTATAAGCCATACAGGAAGCTGTTTTCAGGGGCAGCTGTGGTTATGCCTCAGGTGTGTCTTACAGATAAAATGTGATATGATAAAAAAAAAAGAAAATGACAGCAGAGGTTGGATAGCTTCACATTTTAATTGTCTAGTGTCCCAGTCAAGATTTTTCAATGTGAGCTTCTCACCCCTTGTGGTAGGGCATGGTTCCAAATACAAAAAGATGTGTAGATGCTCAGCTGCAAGATGTAACAAGAAGGTGGGAGAAGTAGTGTGAGTAAAGGATGTGCTTATGTATGTGTCATTGGCAAGTGAATGTATTGATAAAGGATAGATTTTAATTGATTGTTAATGAAGAAGATCAGAAAGGGAAAGCACCTCATCATATGCTGTATAGTACTGAAATAAGAAATATTGAATATTAGTAGGCAACCTATGCTTATTTTAATGTTTTTTTCCCGAGTCGTATTGTAGCTCTTAGAGTACCTATATTTTGCTTATCATTAGTCATTTCACAAAACCACCTTCACCTCAAATGTTGAAGTGTAAAATATACTTATGATAACACAATAATTTCACATCTTAGATGTACATATTGATAAACCTTATGTTTTTGGAACTGAATTAGATGTAAGAGCAAAAAGTCCAGTTGGATCCTATACATGAAGGTTACCTATCTGAGGAGGTTTGTAAGATGTGGACTGATTTCATATCAGACAAAGATTATAATTATTTTCTGATGATGCTGGTGTATGAGTTTATGTGTGTATATGTGTATGTGTTCATGTTTTTGCGGGCGCCTATTGTGTATGTATGTGTATGTATGATTATGTATGTATATGAAGTGATGTGCACAGGCTTTCAGATAAGCTGACCTCAGCTCATATATATATATATATATATATATATATATATATATATATATATATATATATATATATTATATATATATATATATATATATATATATATATATATATATATATATATAATATATATATATTATATATATATATATATATATATGTATATATATATATATATGTATATGTATGTATGTATGTATGTATGTATGTATGTATGTATATGTATATATATATATATATATATATATATATATATATATATATATATATATATATATATAATATGTATATATATATGTTATATATATTAATATATATATATATATATATATATATATATTATATATATATATATATATATATATATGTATATTATATGTATATATATAAAAACATTTGTGAGTGTGTGAGGGTGTGAGTGTGTGTGTGTGTGTGTGTGTGTATGTGTGAGTGTGTGTGTGTGAGTGTGAGTGTGAGTGTGTGCGTGTGCGTGTGTGTATTTGTCTGTATGCTTGTGTACTTGTATATATGTATATATAAAAATTCAGTACAGACAAATAAATACATGCCTAGAATTCTTCACACCAAGCTTTCCTTGAATTATACTTTTCTTCTATTCCTTGAGCCATCATCATTGATTGTAGAATAAATAATGGAATATTTTGTGGAAAAAAGATTGTGAAAAGTAAATTTGCCACGCTGCTGCCTCCCTTCACCTATCCAACTGTCCTCCCATTTATGTTCCTACCTGAACTGTACAATGGATACATCGCTTCATTGGTAAATACATCCAATATTTATTTCATTTATACATTACAACTCACATATATAAATATATATACATATATCTTGTTAGTCTATGGTTTTCCTTTTGCATGGTATTTGTGATTTGCTCATTGTCAGGACACATCTGGAAGACTAATTCATTTACAGTTTGTTCTCTAGGTTATTTTATTGCGTGTTCATTGTCTGCACAAGTACTTGTGTGCAAAATGATTATATATACTTAGTCTACAAATGGCAGCATCGCACAGTTGAGATACCCTAATTGATGGTTTTCCTATTGCTCTTTCTTCGGCAAATTCTTTCTAGTATCATAAATACACACGGGAGCTTATTCATGATTCTGAGGGAATGGAAGAGTAAATTATTTCTTTACTAATTTTATTGTTCTTTGTCACACAAAAATATGTAGTAAAACGTTCCAATTTGTTGCATCCTTTAATTGAATTACTTATTATTGTCTTTGTTGGGTAGGTGCATGTGGGGAAACAGTTGTTGCCTGGTTAAAGGTTTCATGTTTTTCTTTTGAATTTTGAAATTGAAAAAAGATAAATGGAAGAAGATGACATTAGGGATTATGTACTTTTTTCCAGGTTATGCATTTGTTAAAAACAAGTTAAACTTCCTGAACATGGCACTAGATATATTACATAATTATTTTGTTTATTTTTTCTTACCAAAGGTCATCAGTGCTTTGAGTATCTTTTTTCATATTATTCAAACTGTCTTTCCAATAGAATGTTCCCCTCTTTTGTGTTTTATACCTTGAAATTGATAGTCAAGTAATTTAGCAGATCCAAAAGGAAATGCTGATTATAGTAATCTTTTATTATTTACCCAAATGAATCTATTCTTCTTTGAACAGAATATGTAGTTCATAGTTTGTTTGATCCTTATTTTGCATGTAATTGAGTTACTAGATTTATAAAACAGTAAGATGGAAAATATTATCTTGAAATTAGAATATTACCTATGTGCCTTTTTTTGCAAAATAAGTGTATGAAAAACAGTCTGTGATGTTTCATTTTTTATTAGTAGAGTAAAGGTATGTACAGATAGCTTCCTTTTTGACCCAGAGTTCAGTGGAAAAGATGTAATTTGATGAAATGTCTGATTTTTTTGCTATGACACAGACAGACTTGAATATTTTCATAGTTACGTAGATAGATGATTCAAAAGTATTTGTCTGAAATGATTTATCATGATATGATAGCTTACACTGTTTCATTTTTACAGATTCGTGAGAAGTATGATGAGATGATGAAGGAGATGAACACACATTTGATGCAGAGACAGCATCTAAACAAAGATCTCAAAAGATTACAGGTAACGTTCTCTTCATTATCTCTTAGCAGTGGGAGTGGTTCATTATATATATATATCTTTTTCTTTTGTTGGAGAGGGAAGTTTATGCCTAAGGATTTCCTCCCCCCCAGACACCTAGGGAAATTTGTGTACTTAGACCCAATGGCTCTTGGTACATTTACTGTCTACTGTGGGTGTTTTATTAGTTCTGTTTATACCTGGGTGGCTTTGCAATTGCTTAGTCATGAAGGGGTTAATTGCTTGTCGAATCTCATCTATTTACTCAATCCCTTAAATTTTCAGGGAAAGTTTTTTTTCTGTAGATTGGTTATTGTTGTTGTTATCATTGTCATCTTCATCTTCATCTTCTTCATCTTCATTATCATGGTCAAGGTCATTGTTAAAATGTCATTAGTATAATGTCATTATTATTATTATGATTATTAGTATTATCATCATTAATATCATTATTAATATTGTTATTATAATAATGATAATAATAAAAAAAAAAAAAAAAAAAAAAAAATAATAATAACAATTATTATTTTTATTATTATTATTATTATTATTATTATTATTATGACAATAATAATAATAAGTATAATCATATTGATAGTAATGATGACAGTAATGATACTACTACTACTGCTGCTAATAATAATAATGATGATGGATATATAATGATAATGATGATGATGATGATGATGATGATAATAATAATGATAATGATGATAATAATAGTAATAATAATGATGATAAATTATTTATAATGAAAATTATCGCCAATGATCTTGTTATTAATGTTACTGATAATCAAATTAAAAACTTCTTTGAGTAATAATTCAAGGAGTGGGGTAAGCAGGTGAAATTAGGTAGGCATAGCAATTGACTCCTTGGTGACTAGGTGCCTGTGGAGCCATCTGTGTGCATACAAAGTGAATGAAACAAAACCACAATGGACAGTCCATGTATACATACACTCATGTCATCAAAGGGTTAAAAATGTAATGCAAGTCAGCTTTTGATGTCAGTGGTCAGCATGATATATATATATATGTATGCATATGTGTATGTGTAAACATGTATATATGTATATGTATGTATGTATATATGTTATATATAAAGAGTTTCCTAAAAATTTCCAAAGAAGTGTCTTTGGCAGATGAGATATGATTTATTTCTGTTATTTTCCTTTGGAAATGTATACTACTCTCTAGTGCAGACTCACTTTTGGGAGAGAGATTAAAATATTGTTCTTCTCCTTGTCTTAGAGAAAAAAATATTCTTTTCTGGCTGTGGTCATGTTGTCACCTGAGAAATTCTTATTTCATTGTAAGTGAGAATTAGTGAAGTTATGGAAACTTCAGATGTGAGCAAGACTAAAACATTGTTATCATATTTAGATTCTCAGATGATTATGATTATGATGATGATGATAACTGCCATCATCCTTGTCAACATCTTTAATGAAAATCATGGGTCCAAACTAGTTTTTTTTATCAATTGCTGCTCTTAATCATCTTGCCTTTTCATCCTCTCTTGTCATTCTGTCCTCACCTTGCCTCCCTCTTCTTCCTCACCCCCCTCTACATGTTCTCTCCCTCTCCCTTTCCCTCTCTCTCTCTCTCTCTCCCTCCCTCTCCCTCTCCCTCTCCCTCTCTCCTCTCCCTCTCTCTCCTCTTCTCCCTCTCCCTCTCCCTCTCCCCTCTCCCCCTCTCCCTCTCCTCTCTCCCTCTCCCTCTCCCTCTCCCTCTCCCTCTCTCCCTCTCCTCTCCCCTCTCTCCCTCTCCCTCTCTCCCTCTCTCCCCTCTCCCTCTCCCTCTCTCTCTCTCTCTCTCTCTCTCTCTCTCTCTCTCTCTCTCTCTCTCTCTCTCTCTCTCTCTCTCCCTCTCTCTCTCTCTCTCTCTCCTCCCTCCTCCCTCTCCCTCTCCCTCTCCCTCTCTCTCTCTCCCTCTCTCTCTCCCTCTCCCTCTCCTCTCTCCTCTCCCTCTCTCCTCTCTCTCTCTCTCTCTCTCTCTCTCTCTTCTCTCTCCCTCTCTCCT